CGTCTAACAGCCCATGGGGCGCGCTGGTAGTCCTGGTGAAAAAGAAAAACGGCAATCTGCGATTTTGCGTCAACTTCCGCAAATTAAACAAGGTGTCCGTGGCGGATGCGTACCCCCTGCCGCGTATGGATGATTCCTTCGATGCCTTGTCGGGTGCGAAGTTCTTTTCAACGCTGGATCTCTCTTCGGGATTCTGGCAACTTCCCCTGGATGAGCCCTCGAGGGAAAAGACTGCTTTCCGTATGCCGCAGGGCGTATTTCAATTCAATTGTCTTCCGATGGGGTTAAATGCTGCCCCTGCCACATTTCAAAGGTTGATGGAGCTGGTATTAACGGGGTTGCAGTGAGAGACATGTCTGATATATTTAGACGACATCATCGTCTTTAGCCGCACATTTTACGAACATCTACAGAGACTGGAGGCGGTGTTCGCTAGGATGCGCTCCGCCAATCTAAAATTTAAACCAAAGAAATGTCACCTATTGCGCTATTTGGGACACATAGTCAGTGCCGAAGGGGTTGCCACGGACCCGGAGAAGACGGCGTGCGTCCGCAACTGGCCAACCCCGGCCATGGTGGGGGTTGTGCGTCGTTTCCTTGGGTTTGCTTCGTATTACCGCAGGTTCGTTCCCAATTTTGCGACGATCGCTAGGCCTCTGCACCTCCTTATGGGTAAAGGACGGAGGTTCAGTTGGGGACCGCCAGAGGAAGCGGCGTCTAAGGGCCTACGCGATCGTTTGGCGACGGCGCCAACATTAGACTATCCCGATTTCGATCGCCCTTTCATTTTGGACATGGACGCGAGTGACACTGGGATCGGGGCCATTCTGTCACAGTCCAAGGGCGGTGTAGAATGCGTGGTAGCTTACGGTAGCCGCATCTTGTCCCCCGCAGAAACCCGCTACTGCGTTACTCGCCGCGAACTTTTGGCTATTGTCTATTTTCTCCGCCAATATCGGAAGTATCTTTACGGCCGTTCGTTTATTGTGCGCACGGATCATGCGGCTTTACAATATGCTCTGAAGGTTGACCAACCATCTGGCCAACTGGCACGATGGTTGGAAACCCTGCAGGAGTTTTCTTTCCAAATTCAACATCGGAAGGGGTCACGGCACGCGAATGCGGACGCGCTCTCCAGATTGCCTCAAGGGTCCCCTTGCGCTTGCGCGTTGGGTACGCATAGGTGTACGCCGGCTCAGCAACCCCCTCGGCCTATTGTGTCAGCGGTGGAGGTGCCTGAGGCTCCAGTGTGCCCAGGACCGGCCGATGGGGTTCTGAACCTGCCGCGGCCGGTGTGGATTCGCGAACAAATGCTTGACGACTCGTTGGGGGCTTTGCGGAGTCGGGCTGCGAAAGGAGGGGGGGGACTGCTTTCCGGAGGGACGCCGGGGGCCGCTCTCCGTGACGGACTGCTGATGTGGAGGAAGGGGTTACACGATCGCTGGCGTCTGGTTGTACCGTCATCGTTACGGTACGAATTGATTAGGACTCTGCACTGCGACACTCTATTTCATCTGGGGGTGCAGAAAACCTTGTTGACGTTGCAGCGAGACTACTTCTGGCACGGCATGACGACGGATGTCGTCGGACACATTCGCGCGTGTCCCGAGTGTGCCCGGCGAAAGCCGCCCAAACACCCATATGTGCCGCCTGTGCAGTCTATATAGGTGTCTCGGATTAACGAGTTGGTGGCGTTGGATATTCTGGGACCCTTCCAACCATCCGCTAGAGGCAATAAATTCTTGCTAGTTGGAGTGGAGTATCTCTCCCGCTGGCCGATGGCCTGGCCCTTACCCGACCAGTCGGCGGCGTCCATTACGGACGCCTTTCTATTTGGATATGTGATGGACAAAGGGGCGCCGGAGAGGTTGCTCACGGATCAGGGCCGAAATTTTTCTTCTAAATTGTTGGGCGAGGTGTGCGCTGCTCTGGGAACTAAGAAGATCCGTACATCTCCCTACCACCCGCAGACGGATGGCATGGTGGAACAGCTAAATCGGATGCTGTCAGCCATGCTATGTCACACGGTTAACGAGAAGCAAGCTGATTGGGATTTGCATATCCCTGGGGTACTCTCGGCATACCGGATGACGCCTCACGCATCCACAGGGTATTCTCCGTTTTTTCTCTGTGCCGCCAATGGACGTATAGCTGGGAACGGGAGCGAGAGGCCCTAGTAAGCCTCTCCCCGACTACATTCAAGACGCTGTTCGCCGCGTCGCCGAGGCGCGGGAGTGGGCCTGATTGGCTACTGCCAAGACCCAGGCCCGGAACGAACGTTGCGCTCGACGCTCGAAGGGGAAATGCCCCTGGAAGGTGGGGGACATGGCCTGGTTGCATTGTCCGCAGGTGCGGCCAGGAACCTCCCCTAAGCTGCATAAACCATGGCAGGGGCCGGTTACGCTTATTGAGGTTCCTAACCCGCAGTCCGCGCGCGTTCGGTTCAGATCTCGGTGCTGGTTCGTCCATACGTCTCGGTTGAAACCCTACGTGGCCCCGCGGATGGATGCGTCATCTCCTGATGTTGCCTTGCCGGTGTCTGTTGCTGCCGACGCACCTCTGCCTATGCCTGTTGACCCTGCAAGCGCGCCTGTCGTGCCTTCTACAGACGAACCGGCCGTGACACTGGCGGAGGCAGCGAACCCTGCTCTGGGTGGGGCTACCACGGCTGCGGGGACACCTGGCCCCACCGCCCCTCCAACCCCACCACAGACACGGTTGCGGGACACCCCGGACTCGGGTCTCTCAGGGAAACGGACCTTGGCGTTGACGGGCCTCCAATAGCGACGGGCGGTTTTAATCCCGTCGCTCCTAAAACCACGTCGCGTTCTCGGTCTGCAGGGGGGCCGCCGCTCGTCCGGGACGGGCCGGCGACCCGCACGCGTTCAAAATCTCTTTCTTTTTGTTGATTGTTGTTGTTCTTGTTGTTGTTGTTATTGTTAGTATTGTTATATTCTCCGTTGTCCGGTCATTGCTGATGGTTGGAGGTCGCTCGCATTACTTTTTCTGTTTCAGCCGAGGACGGCTGGAATTTTCTCTACGGGGGAGGGTGGTGTAATGCGAGCGTAAATGGGCTCGCTGGATGTGACGTAACAAGTGGGAGGAGTTAGGGTCACGTGGGGGAGAGGATTTAGGGACAGGAACCGGAAGGGTTCGAAGATAGAGTCAGAGTAAAAACAGGGGAAGGCCACGCGGGGCAGGAGGAGGAAAGTGGCGCGACCGCCACGAGCTGGAGACTCGGCACCGTCGGCCAGCGGTGTCCGGGCACAGAGGCGACAGAGGACCAGCAGCGGGGCTGCATATCGGGCAGCAGTGGGGCTGCATAGCGGGCAGCAGTGAGGCTGCATAACGAGCGGCAGTGGGACTTTATGGTGGAGCAGCGACTGGGCTGCAGGAGCAACGGCAGCAGTGTGGCTGCCAAGCGGGAGGCAGAGGAGACACTGAGCGAGGACGCCGTGCGGGCAAGGTTGTACGAACCGAATAAAGGACAACGGAGACAGACATGGTGCAAGAGTCCTTTATTACATGTATATTAACTGTTGAAATATAAACTAGTGAGTAGGTGAGTGAGTGGGTGAATAAATGGAGGTTTAGGTAGGTGAATGAGTTGGCGAGTAAGTGGGTGAGTGGGGGTGTACGTAGGTGAGTGAGTGGGTGAATGAGTGGATGAGTGAGTAGGTGAGTGAGTGGGGTAGTAAGAGTAGGTGGGTGTGGTGAGTGGTAACATAGCGGTAGGTGCACTGTGCTACGTAGCTCTTTTACAGTAAAAACCTGGCCACACGTGCTGATTGCTCATCGAAGTGGCTTTTCACGTGGAACTGTATAGCAGCCAAATACCCTAAACGCAGATTTCTAAATGTGTATGGAAAAAACCGGAGGACCAGAAGAAAAATCCATGCGACCACAAGGAGAGAGACATGCAAACTCCACATGTACAGGCATCGGGATGGGGATCAAACCCACGGCCTTCTGTATAACATGCGAAGTAGGTAACATCTACCTAGCCACCATTGTGTAACAGCAGCGCTTGAACTGGAGCATATACATTATCATCTGTGTGTATGAGTACACTCGGTCTAGACCACGTGTGTAGTGTGTAACATACACGGAGGCGGACACACTATAAGTTGGAGGAAACACGTTTGATAAACAAACTATGAACACTCTGAGTCCTCTAGATAGGTGTGGCTATCTGTCGCTATGTGCGTGTGAGTTAAACTAAATGAACGGGTCAGCAGCATACATGCTGCCTGACCCACGAATCCCAGTCAAGACTACACGACAAACGAGGAGCGAAGAGCGAAGACCTTTCAGTTGATCCCCACAAACGAGCCCCAAATCCCTTTGGCGCTCCCACTTTATATCCTTGGCTGCGGCCTCGCTATGCCCTCGGCCTCACTACGCCCTCGGCCACGCCCCCTGCTGTATCAAGACCGGAGCTTCCCATTCCCGATCACGTGTCCATCACACCTCCAATGGAGACTCCCGGCACTCAGCGGAACTCCAGAAGCCGTGGCTGGTGCAACAACGCAGTGACCTCTATTTTTGCTTCTACACTACCCCACCTCCGCCCCTCTATAACAATTTAGCCGACCTGGCTGGGAAACCCCAAAATTCTGAAGGAGAAAGCAGAACATTCTCCTCAAAATTTCCCACAGCCAATCTGGCTGACTGTTAAATCACAATTTGCAAGGCGTGGCCCGCAATTTAAAACTAGAACAATTAACCGTTAACAAGAACAATGAACACCGCGAGCGGGGAAAACACCCCAACATTATAACAAAATCCGCGAGGGAAAACTAAGAAGCGAGGACGGGTATTCACAAGGGTGGATCTGCCCTCCCGGCAGCCAGCAAAATCCCACAGCTGGACGTATGCCTCCCCCACATGAGCACAGGACGGGTCTGGTTCAAGCAACGGCCCCTCTGGCTCGCGAGTGAGGCAGAAACCCAATTGTGTGCGGAAATCTTGGCGTGCAGGCGAGAATCATCGGAACTGACCAGGATTTGAGCGTGTCTTTGTCGCCGGGCCCCCAGACGGGTTGGGGGAGGCCTCCGCAGGAGGTTCCGGAGCGGGACAAAGCTGGCCTGAGGAGCACGGCCCCTCCCGAAGCAGAGAAGGAGAAGGCTGTCTGACCGGAGAAGAAGGGCCGGACGATGGATGTCCTTCCCCAATTGGAACCGAAACCGGAGGTGTAGCCGGCTGCTCCGCAGACCTCAGGTGCTGCTGCCCTGTAGGTGAAGAGACAGAGCACCCCTGAGGCATCGTATCCATTGATGCATGCCCCAGCTCGTCGGGCGCACCCAACACACAGACCCCAGGGAATGGAGATGAAGGAACACCATAAAGCGGACAAAACGGTTTAAGACGCGACGCATGCACGAACCAGCACCTGCGACTGAATTGGATGTGGACGCTTTGCGGGCTCTTTACCTCAACGATTTCCACGGGGCCTCGCCAAGGTTTATATAGGTTAGGGGACGTCCCCACGGGGACCTGGGGGCAGTAAAGCCACACCCTATCCTCGACTACCCATTTGGTCCCAGTTTCCCGGATCCCCACCCACCGCTTGTAGCAGCTTGTTTTAAAACCGAATTACCTCAGGAGGCCTCCCTAGCCTCTGACAAGCACTGGAGGGTAAAGTGTACACGGTCAGGCATTTTCTTACGAGCCAGATCCGGATTCAGCTGGACATCAATAGGCAGATTGTGCTCCTTCCCTTACATTAGAAAAAACGGTGGACGCATGAGGGGCTAATCAATAAGCGACAAGAATACCTGGGACATGCAGGTCCCAGTCGGTTTGTTCCACATTGACCCGCTGGCATAGCATGGATGTCAGGGTCCTGTGTAGGTGCTCCACCATGCTGTCAGTCTGCGGGTGATAAGGCGAAGTGCAGATCTTTTTGGTGCCCAGCTTGTCACACACCTCCTTTTGCAGCTGAGATGAAAAATTATTGCCCTGATCCGTGAGAAGGAGTCCCAGGGCTCCCTTATCCAGAACATACCCGTGGAGAAAGGCGTCGCAGCCCACTGGTCCGGCACCAGCCAGGCCATTGGCCACCAAGAAAAGTACTCTACACCCACCAGAAAATACTTGTTTACCCGTGGGGTGGTGGGTAATGGAACAAGCATATCGAGCACATCAAGCTCATTTACACAGGATACACAAATCAATTGGAGAGGCGGGCACGCCATTTTTGGTGGAGGTTTTTGGCAGACGCATTCAGTGTTCCCTCTCAGCACATTCTGAACGTCAGCAGTCATGCCGGGCCAGAAAACGTTTAGGTGAAGGGTGGACAGGGTCCTTTTGACCCCCAAATACATAACGCATTTGTGTGTTGCTCAAATCAACTTGCCCCGCAGAATGGTGGGAACGAACACGTATTTTCGTAATTCTGCATCCCATCGCATCAGGAGGCCCCCTCGCAGGATTACCATGGATAACACTTGTCGGCTCTTTCACTCCACGGAGTCACAAACACGGCATCTAATAGTGAGCAAGGAGGCGTCCGCCACATGGAGTCGCCCCCACTCGGTGTTGGTTATACCGAGCGTGTGGTCACGCATGTCAGCTGCATCTGTGTGCGCGATATCGGTTGCAGTGACAACTACGTGGCGGAGCTGAATCGGCGAGCCTGCACTGTCCCGCGCCCGAAATGCACGCACTCTTGTCTCTAGGTGGTAAATGTGACAATGTGTCAGCATTCGTGTAGCCGACGCCCTTTCTATAAGAAACTACTAATGCATAGTCCTAAAGGACCTCAAGTCAACGGGACAGCTGGCCGGACGACTGCTCAGCATGCAGCGCGTACTGCAGAGCCGCGTCATCCGAGCGCACCTCGAACTTGCGTCCGTAGAGGTACGGCCGGTACTGCCGGATGAAAGAAACTATCGCCAGCAACTCTGGATGTGTAATGCAGCAGCATTGCTCCGCCGGGGACAGCACTCTTCTCCCGTATGCAACCACGCGCTCTACTCCATCCACAACCTGTGATAAAACGGCATTTAAACCCGTGTTGCTAGCGTCTGTATCAAGGATGAAGGGCAAAGAAAAATCGGGTTACCGAAGGGGAGGCGGGTTGACCAGGCTGTCACGCAGCGTGGCAAATGCAGCCTCCTCCTCCTCCCCCCACCGAAATTTCTGTACCTTGGCCGTGAGGACGTGGAGTGGTTTTGCAATCGTAGCGAACCCGGGGACGAAACATTGATAAGAGGCGAACCAGATAAAACTACATACTTCACACAACGACTTGGGGGTTGGCCATGTGCGCATGCGCGCAATTTTGTCAGGGTCCGTTGATATCCCAGATTCGCTGACGATGTGGCCTAAGTACTTGACCGATCTTTGCAACAGGTATCACTTCTGCGGCTTAAACTTCAATTTAGCAGCCCGCATTTTGAGGAAAACAGCCCTTAATCTCTGTAGGTGCTCCTCGAACTTACATCCGAATACAATGACGTCGTCATGGTGAATCAAGCACGTGTCCCATTGTAGGCCTGCTAATACCAGCTCCATCAGCCGTTGGAATGTGGCCAGAGCTGAGTGAAGTCCCATCGGAAGCCAGTTGAACTTAAAAGGGCCCCGGGGGCGTATGGAATGCAGTTTTTGGCCTAGAGCTGTCATCTAAAGGCAACTGCCAAAATCCTGACAGGAAATCAAGCGTGAAGAAGAACCGCACCCCCGACAAAGCGTCCAACGAGTCGTCCATCCGTGGCAGCGGGTACACATCTGCCACGCAGACATTGTTGAGTCTGCGGAAATCCACGCAGAACCTCAAACTGCCATCCTGCTTTTTAACAAGAATGATGGGCACCCCCCAAGGGCTGTTGGAAGGAGAGATAATGTCGGCAGCCACCATCTCGTCAACCGCGTGGTGCACATGGTCGTTCTCTTTGGGACTTAGGTGACAAGGATTTAGACGAATAGGAGCAGAATCTCCCGTATTAATGTGGGGGTGCACCACATTGATACGGGAGAGAGGCGTGCAGCCAATATCGAATTTGGAACTGCTAAAGACATCGGAGAATTCCGTTAAGAGCGCACACAGATCAAGCTTCTGTGCCGTTGACAAATATTTGCTCATGGAACATAGAGTATCTAACCATGCCTCGTCACTGTCCTCACCCTGCCCCACAGCCGCTGCAACATCCATGTTCCTGCCGTTTTTTTCCTCGCAACGTGCGGCTGACGCATGAGCCAAGACAGTGCTCTCTTAAATCGCTGACACACCCGGACTGACGTTCAAAACCTGGATGAAAGGTTGTCGATCGCTTGCTACCAATGTCTGCAAGCAGACTAAATGTTGAGCGCAAACTGCCTTGGTGGAGGGAACCAGCATGTGAAACCGTGTGGTGATCGAGATTCTTCCTTTAGATGCAAAGGAACCGCATCTGTACACTGGGGGAATTTTCACCGTTTTCTTTGCCTTTGGAGGGACCGAAACATTTGCTGTGTGAAACAAAGTCGGTGATGATAAAAATGCCATTCGGTGGCCCGACGGTAACTCAATGCAGCCCTTATCCACCAGGATTTTGAGCGGCATTTTACTTAGGAAATCGGTCCCTAACAGACAGCATACGGCTAAAGATTTAGAAATGAGTACCGGACCCGTCAACCGGATGTCCCCTACGCGGCCAAGCAGGGAATTGAAATGGGAAAAATGGCACGCGATTTTGGCGGCAAGCACTCAAAAAACATTTCCGAAATGATGGTCGTTGACGCACCAATGTCAACAAGGACCCGCACCTCGACACCTTCGACAGTCCCCACAACCGCAGATGAATCCGCCGCAGCTGCAACAATACGGCGTGGCAGGGCCGTCACTTGCACGGGGTTCCGAGGCCAACCGTCACGCACAAACTCTCAATCGGAAGACAATGCATCCCATCGCAAATCCGTGACTCGCGACGTTAAAACAGATGACTGAGGTGAGACAAGGGGCTGTGTGTGGGGTGTGCCGTATATTCGCCTGAGGGCCCAGCGGAGCAAAGGGACAACAATCAGCAGGCGGCGTCATCATTGAAGGCCCTCCACGTCGAGCACGGTACCCCATGGACACATGACCCGGCAGCCCACACTTAAAATACATGACCGGGCCGTCCCTCAGGCGAGGGGAAGCCCCCCGTGGCCGATCTCATATGCCCTGGTGGTGCTCTGCCGACCCTTTCCAGATGCGCCGTTGGACGGGAAAAGGCGGTTTGTAGAAGCCAATTTCTTGTGGGTGCTCCCTCCTTTTTGGCTGGACCCATGCTTGCGACCATGCCGGCACGCTGACAGGTGTTAAAATGTGCCTCGAGGCACCTCGCAACTGGAAAGAAAGTCACGTCGTTGTCTTCTGTAACTGGCAAATCGACCTGGAGGTCTTGGGCCAGCAGCAGCATTTTCTCGAGGATGAGTGAATCCCGGCCGACTTGGTCCATCCTGGGAAACGCCAACTTTGCCAAAGCTAGGAGTGCTATGCGATAGGCAAGGGGCATCTCGGCCTTTCCTCGCCCGCGTGTAGCAAACCTGTGGCACCTTGATGACGGTGCGGTGAAAATCGCCCCCATTTGCGCGAGCGCTTGAGCGAGTGTCGCTTTGTCGCCGTCGGGAATAGCGTCGAACGCCGCCAGCGCGTCGTCGTCGAGCGCCGTAGGGAGCACCAACAGCGCCTTCTCCATCCACCCTGCCAGCGTGCAGGTGGTGGATAAACCATGGTGGAAAGCGTCCCAGTCACCACCAGCAGCGGCAAACTCGCGAACAAAGGGAAGGTGCCTTCACAGACCGCAGTCGGCTCGCAGCGCTGTTGGCGGGTGGTCGATTTTGGCGGGATATGCTTCAAGCGCAGCTTGGGTTTTGGTGGGCTCCCGCCCGGCGTAAGCCTTTGCTGATTCCTGCATGCCGGAAAAGGCGAGGGATGTCTCTGCGGGTGCAGCGTTAACACTGCGTCGGCGTCCTACTGCTGTAACACAGCAGCCAAAGCTGCGGCAGCAGCTTGGAGGTTGCCGAGACAATCCTTCCTGGAGCAGCACTCCCTCCCTGGCAGTGGCGGCAAACCAAACGCTTGTTCCCACTGCTGCGCTGGCGCCAGGATCTCCCCGCCCTTCATCACCAGGGTTTCAGCACCCGGGGCCATCCGTGGCGTCACCCCGTCATCCGTCTCTTCATCCGAAGGTGACTGGGTGAGAGCTTTTTGCCTAGTCAGCATATATAATCGCTACCTAGCTACATGTAACTAACAATCACTTCTGATGCCTGTGTAGTGTGTAACATACACGGGGGCGCACACACTATAAGTTGGAGGTAACATGTTTAATAAACAAACTATGAATACTCTGAGTCCTCTAGATAGGTGTGGCTATCTGTCGCTATGTGTGTGTGAGTTAAACTAAACGAACGAGTCAGCAGCACACATGCTGCCTGACCCACGAATCCCAGTCAAGACTACACGACAAACGAGGAGCGAAGAGCGACGACCTTTCAGTTGATCCCCACAAACGAGCCCCGAATCCCCTCAGCACCCCCCTTTACTTCCTTGGCAGCGGCCTCGCTACGGCCTTGGCCACGCCCCCTGCTATATCAAGACCGGAGCTCCCCGCTCCCAGTCACGTGTCCCTCAAACCTCCAATGGAGGCTCCCGGTGCTCAGCGGCACCCCAAAAACCGTGTCCACCGCAACAACGCAGTGACCTCTATTTGTGTCTCTATACGTGTACTCTTAATGTCATAGCCCTACAGTGCTTAACTCCTCACAACTACAGTAAGGGAAAAAAGTATTTGATCACCTGCTGATTTTGTACGTTTGCCCCCTGACAAAGAAATGATCAGTCTATAATTTTAATGGTAGGTTTATTTGAACAGTGAGAGACAGAATAACAACATCAAAATTCAGAAAAACGCAAGTCAAAAATGTTCAATTGATTTGCATTTTAATGAGGGAAATAAGTATTTGACCCCTCTGCAAAACATGACTTAGTACTTGGTGGCAAAAACCTTGTTGGCAATGATGTGTGGCTCTCTGAGCTTTGGGCATCCTTTCATTTTCAAATCGAGGATTCTGGACACAAAACGCCGAGCTTGCAGCAACAAACAGCACAAAACAAGGTTGCAATAAATTAGAATGAATACATTTGTTGACTTAGGCGTGGTTCGTGTAGCATCTTGGGAGCAGAGATGAGAGGTCTCCCAAGTGGATGGGAGCGAGGGAAGATGCAGAAAGAGAAGTAAGGTGGCCTGCAGTGTGGTGAGTGGGTGGGTGAGTGAGGTAATAAGAGTGTGAGAGAGGGAGGTGGCAGAGTAAGAGTGTGAGTGGGTGGGTGAGCGGGTGAGTGAGGGAGTGAGATGGTGAGTGGGTGGGTGAGTAGGTGGGTGAGTGGGAAGATGAGTGAGTGGGGTGATAAGAGTGTGAGTGGGTGTGTGGGTGAGGTAGCAAGGGTGTGTGGGTAAGGTAGCGAGAGTGTGAGTGTTTAGTCTGGGATGTATTTTGACCGCGATTGCATCATCCGTTGTGATTGCACTCTTAGAATCCGAAAGCTGCCTTAGTCCGGCTCTCTGAACTTCGTGTAGTGATGCACGGTGATTGCTATGTGTCAAGAATCTCGCTGCAGCGATCCAATCAGCTGTCACTTGAGTGAGAGTAATCTCGTGCTGGAGCAGTGGGTGAACCAGCAGTTGTTGTTGTTCACTCGTGTCGCTGTGAACCAAGCGACATCAGTTTGATTACTGGTTGTGGCTAACAACTGGGCCGAGCGATTAGAACTGGTCCTTGTCCTACCCATTAACAAAAACACAGACACACAGTGGCCACCGTGGTGAAGTATGGTCAAGCAACCTCCATATTCGACACTATTTGGAGGCCTTCATCCAGAGATGGATTGACAAAGGGCTGTAAATGAGGATCTTGTACTGAAACTATGAGACCCAGTCAATCTTTTACATTCCCTTGTACTTTTTAAGTCCTGGGTTATGAATGCTGCCTTTTCGATGATGAAACAGTTGCAATATCCATCCTGCACTTCGTTTTATGTTAACAGTTTAATCTCAATTTTCCTGCAGTGAGTGCCCTAAGAGCAATAAGTAACTTATCATTCGGTTCATGTTCATCTTAATTCTCACCTAGCAGCCACTTTCGTCAACCAACCGTGAACCCACTGCACCAACGCATGATGGTCAATGTCTGAATGAGCGTGACGGGACTGGAACATGCTTCATCCATAGCTTACAAAGTTGCCCTTTTGCTCTCAAGAAACGCACTGTCACGTTGCTGTTGTTGTTTCCAACTCTTGATGAGTGAGACCCTTCGTGTTGTTAGCGATCTTTCACCCAGCACCTCGGTTCCCGTTTCATGATCTGAATAGACGCAGGTCTCCCTTGCCAACTGGTTACCCTGCATTAATGCACTCAACCTGGGTAAAATAGAGGACGCCCTCCAAATGGGTAGGATTTGTCGGCATTTTGGAGTCTGTAATGGAGTCTAACGAAGATCGTCGTGGCAGAGGAACGTACCGAGAAAAGACAGAAGTTTAGTTTGGACGCCGCCCACTAAGATGACTTTTGTGAGGTTCAGACCATGGGAGACGGGGGCTGGGTCATCCTGAGTCTCCTGGGAGACTGAGCTCCTCCTGCACTCACAGCACAGGACACACACATAGTCTAATGAGGGTCCCTGTCTCTCTACACACACAGCGTGATACACACAGAGTCTAATGAGGGTCCATGTCTCTCTACACAGCACGGTACACACACCGAGTCTAATGAGGGTCTGTGTCTCTCTACACACAACATGGGACACAGAGAGTCTAATGAGGGTCTGTGTATCTCTGCACACAGCATGGGACACAGACTCTAATGAGGGTCTGTGTCTTTCTACACATAGCATGGGACACACAGAGTTTAATGAGGGTCTGTGTCTCGCTACACACAGAGTGGGTCACACAGAGTCAAATGGGGGTCTGTGTCTCTCTACACACAGCACGGGACACATACAATCTAATGAGGGTTGATGTTTCTCTACACATGGACAAGACAGACAGTTCTCGACTTAGGAACCAACATCCCCCTCGTGTGCCACAGTGGCAGCCTTCTTAGGCGCTGCTCGCTAACAGCACTTGCCCCAAACAGCCTGTTAAGGCTACACATGGGATTGTTGTTGTTGGGGTGTCCTTTGTGTGTGTGCATGCGCACATGCCCGTTTGTGTGTCTGTACAATTGTGGTGACTCATCGCCCCTCTTCCGACTACAAACTAGCATCAAGGAAAGTGAAAATATTACTTTTTTTCTATTCATGTTACTTAATTTGATGTTGTATTTACTATGTACGATATTTATTCTTACTTATGAGTTTAACAATGCTTCCCTCTTTCGATATGTATTCTAAATCATGAGTTTAACAATGCTTCCCTCTTTCGATATTTATTCTTAATTAGGAGTTTAACAATGCTTCCCTCTTTGTTGAACCATAACACTATTTATAACACTGACTGTGTTGGCATTTAAATATGGTGCATTATTGGGTTCGAGTTCCAGAACCGTTCGACTTACGAATAAGTATCAGGAACAAATTACGTGCATAATCCAAGGACTGCCTATATGGGATACAACTGCATACAATTGGATTTATTAGGAATCACATCACGACCGTTTGCTGATTTGTCCACCAGGTGACAGACAGAGCTCGAGATTGAGTCTGGGTTGGCACTGACCAGAGATTCTCATGCAGGGGATCCTGAAAAACACAAACCCGCATTTCAAATTAACATTGACATCCTAAACAGATGCCCCACCTCCACCTGCTGTTTACAGTGGAGCGTGACATCAGGGAATTAACAAATACCTGCACACCGAGAATGGTGAAACACAGGGCTCTCTAATGGACCTATTTGTCAATATCGAGATTATCCTCTTTGGTTCTTCCGGTAATTTCACGTAGGTAGAAAAAATTAAATACAAAATTATCGCGACGTTTCGACCGCTTGTGTTGCATGATTTATTTTTATTTTATTTTTTCTATCTACGTGACTTTACCGAAATAACCAAAGAGTATGGATTCCTGCAGTCACGAAAGCTTCAAATCAATTATAAAAAAAATAAGCAAAGGCTTTATCCTTTCTGAGTATTAAAATAGGCGTTAAGATGTTCAAACACCAAACAGATACCTATTGCAAGGCATCAATTCTCAACCAGAGCTATTAATACTTTGATACTTGAATTGCTTTTGTACTCTTTGCATCACAAACAGGATTCATTTAACTGGACATGGACCCCAACCAATAACAAAACCACTCTTTGCAGGTCTAGTCTAGCAGCTAAAAAAATGGTTAAGTAATTTTCAACAACTCATGTTTCGAACTCTGAATAAACCAAACTTTTTATTTCATCAGGTAAGGCCCACTGAGCTATTTTGCTGTTTTTTTAGAAGCGACCTGGTCACACATGATAGCTCAACAAATTGGTTTATCCGGTTGACATTTGAAGTAGCAGCCAAATACCTTAAACGCGTAACGTTGATTATAAATGTGGAGATGAACCGGATGATCCAAAGAATAATATACTTGACCACGGTGGGAGAGAACAGAGCGAAATGCAAACTCTAAATTTACCGCAGGCGTCGCCAGGATCAGGGTCGGACCCATGACCTCCTGCATACCAGGCCGGCTAAATGGCGATGTTGTACTGGACAATTCCAGGTCTGAATGTCACTTAGAAGCAAAAGCGCATTTATTTCTGGAGACCACCACTTCCTCCTAGATCAATAAACACTGAAATAAGATAGCCAACAATGTCAACATCTCACAGCGAGGTGCACCTATCCTAGTTGTAGATCAACCCTCTTTTGAGAAACCAAGACTGTGAGTATAAACTATAATAATAATAAAATACTTTGCCAGGTAAGGCCCACTGAGCTATATAGCTCTTTTTCAGAAGTAACCTGGCCACAAATGATAGCTCAACAAAGTGATTTATCACATGGAAATGTATATCAGCCAAATACTACAAAAAGAACGTTTCTAAATATGGAGGGAAAAACCGGGAGACCCAGGGAAAAATCCACACGACTACAGGGTGAGAGATACCACTAAATCCAAATATATAGCCGGCGTCAGGGTTATAATTGAACCCACGACCTCCTGCATACCAGGCGAGGTACTTAACATATTCTAGCTACCACGGCGAGTGAATGGAGGTGGTGCCACCTGCAGGAAGGAGAGTGGGTCCTGCACGGCGAGGGCGGCGAGCAGCTGGTTGATCTCCTGCTCCAGGCCGCGTGCTCTGCTCTCGTAGCAAGCGATGTCCGCCTGGATGCGTGACAGTACGGAGCAGCCCTCCTCATCCACGCGCTCAAGCGCCTCCCTCTCCTCCTCCGTAAGCTGCTCCCTGCGGCGCTCAAACTCTCGGCTGATCTGTGCCTTGATCCCACGCACAGACTCCTACACAGAAAGTTCCGAGTTGAGTCACTCGTAAGGTAACGACGCAATGTGGCGTCGTACAGGCAATGATTGTTACCATACCTCGATTATGTACATGGAGATGGGCGACGTGTGCATTGGGAGCTCGGAAACATATGTAATGCGAGCGTAAACGGGCTCGCGGGATGTGACGTAACAGGTGGGAGGAGTTAGGGTCACGTGGGGAGAGAGAGAGCTTTTAAGGACAGGAACCGGAAGGGCTGGGGGAGAGTGTGGAATTAAAGACAGGAGGAGGCCACGCAGGGCAGGAGGAGGAAAGTGGCGTGATCGCCACAGGTCGGGACTCGGCACCGTTGGCCAGCGGTGTCCGGGCACGGAGGAGACGGAGAGCCAGCAGCGGGGCTGCATAGTGAGCAGCCGTGGGGCTGCAGGTTGGAGGCAGAGAGGCTGAGTAACGAGCCAGCAGCGGAGCTGCATAGTGAGCAGCCGTGGGGCTGCAGGTCGGAGGCAGAGAGGCTAAGTAATGAGCCAGCAGCGGGGCTACATAGTGAGGAGCAGCAACAAGTCTGCAGGAGCGACGGCAGCAGTGGGGCTGCCGAGCGGGAGACGGAGGAGACTCTGAGCGAGACGCCGTGCGGGCAAAGTGTACGAACCAATAAAGGACAACGGAAACAGACCCAGTGCAAGAGTCCTTTATTACACATACATAGCACAGGGAGAATGAGAATGGAATATAAGGGGAAAGTATCATAGGCAAGGGTAGTATAGGAAATACTTCTATCTTGATTTGAAGCTTTCGTGACTGCAGGAATCCATACTATTTGATTATTTTGGTAAAGTCACGTAGGTAGAAAAATAAAATAAATCACGACATTTCGATCGCAACACAAGCGGTCGTCCTCAGGCGAAAACAGTGAGAGAGCTGTTACAAACAAGGGGTTATATATTTTTATCAGTTAATGGTGAGATTATGGAGAGAGGGAGATTAGGGAGAGAGATTAGCAAGTCAAAGTTAATGAGCTTCCGTCGTCGCGTAAGAATACCGTTCTAACTCTGGAGAGAGAGAATATGAAGAGAGTGATTAGGGAGAGAGAATAGCATGTCAACGTTAATGAGCGTCTGTCCCCGCATAAGAACAACGTGGCTGTACAAGAGCACGGTAGCAGTGTTAATGGTATGTTCATGGGAGATTAGGGATTAGGGAGAATAGGAAGATGAGCAAGTTAATAACATGTATATGTGTGAGACAAGCTGCGGTGCTGGCCGCTGCGCTGTGAGAGGAACCTGGTTAAACACAAACTGCGGCGCTGGCTGCTGCGCTATGAGAGGAAAGCGTGTAAAAGTCCATGGTGGCCGTGCCAGCGAGACATACCGTCTATAGAACAGCAAGAGAGAGCCATCGATACATCAGGGAGCAAAAATGTTAGTGATAGCACAGCCCGTTAATGCAAAGGCATCCAACAGGGCAATACAACTGAGAGAGTCGAAGGTAACAGCCAAGCGGCAGGAAGGATGGAAGCATCACAGCAAGTTATGACTAACCTGGTTAATAAACATATAACCCCTTATTTGTAACAGCTCTCTCGCTATTTTCACCTAAGGACGACCGCTTGTGTTGCAATCGAAACGTCGTGATTTATTTGTATTTAAATGTTTCTACCTACGTGACTTTAATGAAAGAACCAAATAGTAATTAAATACTTCTGTATGTAGCTACACGTTGCCAAGTGTGTATCTGGGGGAAATAAAAAAAAACACATCTATGGGTATCATTCGCATCTGTCTGTCTGTCTGTCCGTCCCACTCTGGATATACCAAATGGTGCGTCGGAGGGAAACGCGAATATAAATGAAACCAATTCTCTTGCCGAGGTCATTCTGATTAATTGCGTCAAATGTTTATGAATATCTATAACAAATACACGTGACAATACCGTATTTTTCAAGTGAAAATGTGCTGGAATAGGCAAATAATGCAATACTCTCGTCCACTCTTCCTTGCACTCCGGCTATGTTGGTACAATCCAGATTTGGGGGGCCAAAAAGGAGGATCGCAATCTTCCATAAGCATTGTGGTTGTGATCAATAAAGGAATCGACAGGGCAAGTCGCAAATGTATCGTCCAACGTGGATTGATTCCGTCCGTCCCCAAAACTGCTGTCATGTTGGAAGTTGCATTGTAAATGAAATACAATTCATAGGGAAAACCAGAAGAGGGATTTGTGCGACTGCCGTCTCTCTCTGTACCTCCACGCGCCGGTAGTCATCCCTGAGTGTCTGTGTCCATGTCGCCGCCGTGTTCCTCTTCTCGTCTCTCCCCTCTTTCTTGACTCTGAGCTCCTCCTGCGTTGGGGTAGATACATAAATACATATGTGGTGCTCGCCATTGCCATTGGTGGATCACTTGTAGATCATCATCCTGCTGCATCTCTCCGATTAGCACGGTTGGCTACGAAATAAGTTAAACACACATACACAGATCTGTTATCATTATATTTCTGCATATGTCTTCATTTATACTTTTACTTTTCCCACAATTGAATACGGACTGCACATGTATTGAGACAAATAATCCAAAGGGAACTACTGTGGAGCAATGCAATATTCTAAGACAACATCATCAACAAATATCACGTATTTCTAAAATATATTTTAAACCTCTTCCAGTGACGGGTGTAGCTACTTCTCACACGCCATACTTTACATAGTAACGTTTCTCACTTAGTCAAACTAATAATTTGAATTCTCATGTAAAATCTGATTTAACATGCTGTCAAATGTTGGCTGGGCTTAGACCATCAACTCACTAAACTTGAGAATCTGGTTTCAACCATGAGCTACCGACTAGATTTCAACTCAGCATTACAGCGTTATCATCTCAGCGTTTTCATGTCTGAACCACCCTGCCACATCTCCTGGCACTCCCTGTAAAGGGGCGTTTGGTCACAACAGGAACTCACATGGTCGAGGCGAGGGGTCACAGCCTACTGATGTGAATGCCTCAACCTCCTGTAACAATGTGGATTACAATGGTAAATGACACTTCACCTGTCTTGTCTGTTGCGCTTTTTCCACTGTGATGACTCTGTGTCCGGAGTGGTCTCCTGTGACGGGGCAGACTGGGCAGACCGGGATTTTGTCCTGTTCACAGTAAAGAATGAGCTCCTCTCTGTGCTCCCGACACCTTCGCTCCTCCAGGTTCGCGATGGGAGCCACCAGGAGGTGTTCTCTCAACCTGAGATTCTCCAAGTGAGGCCTCAAGTGCGTCGCACAGAAGGACATCTCACATCTCAGGCACGTCTTCACTGCAGGAGTCTGGCCGTCACCGCAGATGTCACACACAACGGCCGCGGCCATCCTGTCTCCAACTCTAAGCTGCTCCGCCAGGTTGGCAAGGGCCACGTTCTTCCTCACCTGGGGTCGCACAGGGAAGGTTGCACGGCACTGCGGGAAGCTGAAGCTGCTCGCTGTCTCCCAGGCGGCCTCCAGGCACCGGACGCAGAATGAGTGTCCGCAGCTCAGCGTGGAGAGGCAGACAAACGTGCCCAGGCAGATGTAGCAGCGCAGCACACTCTCACTGGGAGTCACGCTCGCTGTGTATATCAGATATACGCTGGACCAGGACCTCTCTCTTATAGCGATGGTGAAGAAGGAAGTAACATACTTAAAATATTTTCATTGTCATCGTTTACATCTAGTGACTGCCTGGAATGTGAACCCACGCCATTGGGGCACAAACACCTGCTTCAACGTGAAGATGTCTACAGCACACACCATGATATGAACATTTATTAATTAGATTTACTCTTTAAAATATTAAATCATCACTATGGGGACCTCATTTGCCAGTAAAAATATGATAATTGGTTCTTTACCCTTCTATCTGGCAACAAAACTGACACCTTTTTGCAAGGAGTCATGTTTGCATAGACCGCAATACCTGCAGTCATAATACAAACAAAAGAACATAACTCTGATAATGTGCACTGTCCCTGAAGTTGATTGGTCCACACCCGAGACAGCTTTCCTTCGAGCCTAGTCTCATATGGGTTGGACCAGATGACGCCAAAAGGCGCACAACTCAAGGACAATGCACCATCAGAGTATGAGAACTCGGGGCAAGCATCTACACTATGGGGACCTCATTTGCCAGTAAAAATATGATAATTGGTTCTTTACCCTTCTATCTGGCAACAAAACTGACACCTTTTTGCAAGGAGTCATGTTTGCATAGACCGCAATACCTGCAGTCATAATACAAACAAAAGAACATAACTCTGATAATGTGCACTGTCCCTGAAGTTGATTGGTCCACACCCGAGACAGCTTTCCTTCGAGCCTAGTCTCATATGGGTTGGACCAGATGACGCCAAAAGGCGCACAGCTCAAGGACAATGCACCATCAGAGTATGAGAGCTCGGGGCAAGCATCTACACTATGGGGACCTCATTTGCCAGTAAAAATATGATAATTGGTTCTTTACCCTTCTATCTGGCAACAAAACTGACACCTTTTTGCAAGGAGTCATGTTTGCATAGACCGCAATACCTGCAGTCATAATACAAACAAAAGAACATAACTCTGATAATGTGCACTGTCCCTGAAGTTGATTGGTCCACACCCGAGACAGCTTTCCTTCGAGCCTAGTCTCATATGGGTTGGACCAGATGACGCCAAAAGGCGCACAACTCAAGGACAATGCACCATCAGAGTATGAGAGCTCGGGGCAAGCATCTACACTATGGGGACCTCATTTGCCAGTAAAAATATGATAATTGGTTCTTTACCCTTCTATCTGGCAACAAAACTGACACCTTTTTGCAAGGAGTCATGTTTGCATAGACCGCAATACCTGCAGTCATAATACAAACAAAAGAACATAACTCTGATAATGTGCACTGTCCCTGAAGTTGATTGGTCCACACCCGAGACAGCTTTCCTTCGAGCCTAGTCTCATATGGGTTGGACCAGATGACGCCAAAAGGCGCACAACTCAAGGACAATGCACCATCAGAGTATGAGAGCTCGGGGCAAGCATCTACACTATGGGGACCTCATTTGCCAGTAAAGTGCACATTATCAGAGTTATGTTCTTTTGTTTGTATTATGACTGCAGGTATTGCGGTCTATGCAAACATGACTCCTTGCAAAAAGGTGTCAGTTTTGTTGCCAGATAGAAGGGTAAAGAACCAATTATCATATTTTTACTGGCAAATGAGGTCCCCATAGTGTAGATGCTTGCCCCGAGCTCTCATACTCTGATGGTGCATTGTCCTTGAGTTGTGCGCCTTTTGGCGTCATCTGGTCCAACCCATATGAGACTAGGCTCGAAGGAAAGCTGTCTCGGGTGTGGACCAATCAACTTCAGGGACAGTGCACATTATCAGAGTTATGTTTATTTGTTTGTATTATGACTGCAGGTATTGCGGTCTATGCAAACATGACTCCTTGCAAAAAGGTGTCAGTTTTGTTGCCAGATAGAAGGGTAAAGAACCAATTATCATATTTTTACTGACAAATGAGGTCCCCATAGTGTAGATGCTTGCCCCGAGCTCTCATACTCTGATGGTGCATTGTCCTTGAGTTGTGCGCCTTTTGGCGTCATCTGGTCCAACCCATATGAGACTAGGCTCGAAGGAAAGCTGTCTCGGGTGTGGACCAATCAACTTCAGGGACAGTGCACATTATCAGAGTTATGTTCTTTTGTTTGTATTATGACTGCAGGTATTGCGGTCTATGCAAACATGACTCCTTGCAAAAAGGTGTCAGTTTTGTTGCCAGATAGAAGGGTAAAGAACCAATTATCATATTTTTACTGGCAAATGAGGTCCCCATAGTGTAGATGCTTGCCCCGAGCTCTCATACTCTGATGGTGCATTGTCCTTGAGTTGTGCGCCTTTTGGCGTCATCTGGTCCAACCCATATGAGACTAGGCTCGAAGGAAAGCTGTCTCGGGTGTGGACCAATCAACTTCAGGGACAGTGCACATTATCAGAGTTATGTTCTTTTGTTTGTATTATGACTGCAGGTATTGCGGTCTATGCAAACATGACTCCTTGCAAAAAGGTGTCAGTTTTGTTGCCAGATAGAAGGGTAAAGAACCAATTATCATATTTTTACTGGCAAATGAGGTCCCCATAGTGTAGATGCTTGCCCCGAGCTCTCATACTCTGATGGTGCATTGTCCTTGAGTTGTGCGCCTTTTGGCGTCATCTGGTCCAACCCATATGAGACTAGGCTCGAAGGAAAGCTGTCTCGGGTGTGGACCAATCAACTTCAGGGACAGTGCACATTATCAGAGTTATGTTCTTTTGTTTGTATTATGACTGCAGGTATTGCGGTCTATGCAAACATGACTCCTTGCAAAAAGGTGTCAGTTTTGTTGCCAGATAGAAGGGTAAAGAACCAATTATCATATTTTTACTGGCAAATGAGGTCCCCATAGTGTAGATGCTTGCCCGAGCTCTCATACTCTGATGGTGCATTGTCCTTGAGTTGTGCGCCTTTTGGCGTCATCTGGTCCAACCCATATGAGACTAGGCTCGAAGGAAAGCTGTCTCGGGTGTGGACCAATCAACTTCAGGGACAGTGCACATTATCAGAGTTATGTTCTTTTGTTTGTATTATGACTGCAGGTATTGCGGTCTATGCAAACATGACTCCTTGCAAAAAGGTGTCAGTTTTGTTGCCAGATAGAAGGGTAAAGAACCAATTATCATATTTTTACTGGCAAATGAGGTCCCCATAGTGTAGATGCTTGCCCCGAGCTCTCATACTCTGATGGTGCATTGTCCTTGAGTTGTGCGCCTTTTGGCGTCATCTGGTCCAACCCATATGAGACTAGGCTCGAAGGAAAGCTGTCTCGGGTGTGGACCAATCAACTTCAGGGACAGTGCACATTATCAGAGTTATGTTCTTTTGTTTGTATTATGACTGCAGGTATTGCGGTCTATGCAAACATGACTTCTTGCAAAAAGGTGTCAGTTTTGTTGCCAGATAGTAGGGTAAAGAACCAATTATCATATTTTTACTGGCAAATGAGGTCCCCATAGTGTAGATGCTTGCCCCGAGCTCTCATACTCTGATGGTGCATTGTCCTTGAGTTGTGCGCCTTTTGGCGTCATCTGGTCCAACCCATATGAGACTAGGCTCGAAGGAAAGCTGTCTCGGGTGTGGACCAATCAACTTCAGGGACAGTGCACATTATCAGAGTTATGTTCTTTTGTTTGTATTATGACTGCAGGTATTGCGGTCTATGCAAACATGACTCCTTGCAAAAAGGTGTCAGTTTTGTTGCCAGATAGAAGGGTAAAGAACCAATTATCATATTTTTACTGGCAAATAAGGTCCCCATAGTGTAGATGCTTGCCCCGAGCTCTCATACTCTGATGGTGCATTGTCCTTGAGTTGTGCGCCTTTTGGCGTCATCTGGTCCAACCCATATGAGACTAGGCTCGAAGGAAAGCTGTCTCGGGTGTGGACCAATCAACTTCAGGGACAGTGCACATTATCAGAGTTATGTTCTTTTGTTTGTATTATGACTGCAGGTATTGCGGTCTATGCAAACATGACTCCTTGCAAAAAGGTGTCAGTTTTGTTGCCAGATAGAAGGGTAAAGAACCAATTATCATATTTTTACTGGCAAATGAGGTCCCCATAGTGTAGATGCTTGCCCCGAGCTCTCATACTCTGATGGTGCATTGTCCTTGAGTTGTGCGCCTTTTGGCGTCATCTGGTCCAACCCATATGAGACTAGGCTCGAAGGAAAGCTGTCTCGGGTGTGGACCAATCAACTTCAGGGACAGTGCACATTATCAGAGTTATGTTCTTTTGTTTGTATTATGACTGCAGGTATTGCGGTCTATGCAAACATGACTCCTTGCAAAAAGGTGTCAGTTTTGTTGCCAGATAGAAGGGTAAAGAACCAATTATCATATTTTTACTGGCAAATGAGGTCCCCATAGTGTAGATGCTTGCCCCGAGCTCTCATACTCTGATGGTGCATTGTCCTTGAGTTGTGCGCCTTTTGGCGTCATCTGGTCCAACCCATATGAGACTAGGCTCGAAGGAAAGCTGTCTCGGGTGTGGACCAATCAACTTCAGGGACAGTGCACATTATCAGAGTTATGTTCTTTTGTTTGTATTATGACTGCAGGTATTGCGGTCTATGCAAACATGACTCCTTGCAAAAAGGTGTCAGTTTTGTTGCCAGATAGAAGGGTAAAGAACCAATTATCATATTAAATCATCTTCTTGGTTCTTTAGGTAAAGTCACGTAGAAAGGAATTAATAAAATAATAAAAATTAAACATAATAAAATACAATTCTCACGACGTTTCTACCCACCCTGCTGTAGAATAATACATAGTGTAATATTACAATGTATAGTAATGCAGTGTTTAATTTAATGTTGGGTTTGTCTATGGCAGTATATAGTACGGGGTAGATCCATGTGATGTAAGAAAAAAGTTTAGCTGGAGGCATATTATATTTTTTGCGACATGTAATTGTAATGTATGACTTACTGTTATTAGTAGCTCAGCTTATTGGAGAGTATATTGAGTATATTGATGATATCGATGTAGTTTATATT